AGTCTTGTGGTCTTACGTACTGACCCAACAAGCACCAACACCTACCACCAACGAGGACTTAACAACGTCGACACATCACACTATCATCTCGGTGTTAATTATTACATAGAAATTATAGTAATCATTTAGTAGCAAATTATTTCATGTTAACTTTGGGTTATATAATTACCTGCTGGAGATAATCCTTCACAGACTTACCTGTGACTCCCAGGGCCAGTATTCGCTAATCACACAACCTGTACCACCTTTCTCAACCATGGCGGCATTGTTGACATGTATCAACCAGTCAACCAGCTTCAACACTTCACAACCCAAGATAATTATGGTTATAAACAACCATGTGGTTCTTCGCAGCTTGAGGAAAGGTGTACAGGTTGTTAAGTGGTTAATAACTGGTGGTCCCAGTCTTACATGGTAACCTTACAGTAAGGAGTGGTAATGGTGGGTATGGTAGGGGGTACTCACTGGTGCGTGGGTATGGTAGGGGGTACTCACTGGTGGGTGGGTATGGTAGGGGGGGTACTCACTGGTGGGAGGGTATGGTAGGGGGTACTCACTGGTGCGTGGGTATGGTAGGGGGTACTCACTGGAGGGAGGGTATGGTAGGGGTACTCACTGGTGCGTGGGTATGGTAGGGGTACTCACTGGTGGGTGGGTATGGTAGGGGGGTACTCACTGGAGGGAGGGTATGGTAGGGGTACTCACTGGTGCGTGGGTATGGTAGGGGGTACTCACTGGTGGGAGGGTATGGTAGGGGGTACTCACCAGTGGGTGGGTATGGTAGGGGGGTACTCACTGGAGGGAGGGTATGGTAGGGGGTACTCACTGGTGCGTGGGTATGGTAGGGGGGTACTCACTGGTGGGTGGGTATGGTAGGTGCTACTCACTGGTGCGTGGGTATGGTAGGGGGTACTCACCAGTGGGAGGGTATGGTAGGGGTACTCACTGGTGGGAGGGTATGGTAGGGGGTACTCACTGGTGGGTGGGTATGGTAGGGGGTACTCACCAGTGGGTGGGTATGGTAGGGGGTACACACTGGTGGGAGGGTATGGTAGGGGGTACTCACTGGTGCGTGGGTATGGTAGGGGATACTCACTGGTGGGAGGGTATGGTAGGGGGGTACTCACTGGTGGGTGGGTATGGTAGGGGGGTACTCACTGGTGGGTGGGTATGGTAGGGGGTACTCACTGGTGGGTGGGTATGGTAGGGGGTACTCACCAGTGGGTGGCTATGGTAGGGGGTACTCACCAGTGGGAGGGTATGGTAGGGGGTACTCACTGGTGCGTGGGTATGGTAGGTGCTACTCACTGGTGCGTGGGTATGGTAGGGGGTACTCACCAGTGGGAGGGTATGGTAGGGGGAACTCACTGGTGGGAGGGTATGGTAGGGGGTACTCACTGGTGCGTGGGTATGGTAGGGGGTACTCACTGGTGGGAGGGTATGGTACGGGGTACTCACTGGTGCGTGGGTATGGTAGGTGCTACTCACTGGTGGGAGGGTATGGTAGGGGGTACTCACCAGTGGGAGGGTATGGTAGGGGGTACTCACCAGTGGGTGGGTATGGTAGGGGGTACTCACTGGTGGGAGGGTATGGTAGGGGGTACTCACTGGTGCGTGGGTATGGTAGGTGCTACTCACTGGTGGGAGGGTATGGTAGGGGGTACTCACCAGTGGGAGGGTATGGTAGGGGGTACTCACCAGTGGGTGGGTATGGTAGGGGGTACTCACCAGTGGGAGGGTATGGTAGGGGTACTCACCAGTGGGAGGGTATGGTAGGGGGGTACTCACCAGTGGGAGGGTATGGTAGGGGGTACTCACCAGTGGGAGGGTATGGTAGGGGGTACTCACCAGTGGGAGGGTATGGTAGGGGGTACTCACTGGTGGGAGGGTATGGTAGGGGGTACTCACCAGTGGGTGGGTATGGTAGGGGGTACTCACCAGTGGGAGGGTATGGTAGGGGGTACTCACTGGTGCGTGGGTATGGTAGGGGGTACTCACCAGTGGGTGGGTATGGTAGGGGGTACTCACCAGTGGGTGGGTATGGTAGGGGGTACTCACCAGTGGGTGGGTATGGTAGGGGTACTCACCAGTGGGAGGGTATGGTAGGGGGTACTCACTGGTGGGAGGGTATGGAAGGGGGGTACTCACTGGTGGGTGGGTATGGTAGGGGGGTACTCACTGGTGGGTGGGTATGGTAGGGGGTACTCACCAGTGGGAGGGTATGGTAGGGGGTACTCACTGGTGCGTGGGTATGGTAGGGGGTACTCACCTGTGGGTGGGTATGGTAGGGGGTACTCACCAGTGGGTGGGTATGGTAGGGGGTACTCACCAGTGGGTGGGTATGGTAGGGGTACTCACCAGTGGGAGGGTATGGTAGGGGGTACTCACCAGTGGGAGGGTATGGTAGGGGGGTACTCACTGGTGGGTGGGTATGGTAGGGGGGTACTCACTGGTGGGTGGGTATGGTAGGGGGTACTCACTGGTGGGTGGGTATGGTATGGGGGGTACTCACCAGTGGGTGGGTATGGTAGGGGGTACTCACCAGTGGGTGGGTATGGTAGGGGTACTCACCACTGGGAGGGTATGGTAGGGGTACTCACCAGTGGGAGGGTATGGTAGGGGGTACTCACCAGTGGGAGGGTATGGTAGGGGGTACTCACACTGGGAGGGTATGGTAGGGGGTACTCACCAGTGGGTGGGTATGGTAGGGGTACTCACACTGGGAGGGTATGGTAGGGGGTACTCACCAGTGGGTGGGTATGGTAGAGGGTACTCACCAGTGGGTGGGTATGGTAGGGGGTACTCACCACTGGCAGGGTATGGTAGGGGGTACTCACCAGTGGGTGGGTATGGTAGGGGGTACTCACCAGTGGGTGGGTATGGTAGGGGGTACTCACCAGTGGGAGGGTATGGTAGGGGGTACTCACCAGTGGGAGGGTATGGTAGGGGGGTACTCACTGGTGGGAGGGTATGGTAGGGGGGTACTCACCAGTGGGTGGGTATGGTAGGGGGTACTCACCAGTGGGAGGGTATGGTAGGGGGTACTCACCAGTGGGTGGGTATGGTAGGGGGTACTCACCAGTGGGTGGGTATGGTAGGGGGTACTCACCAGTGGGTGGGTATGGTAGGGGGTACTCACCAGTGGGTGGGTATGGTAGGGGTACTCACCAGTGGGAGGGTATGGTAGGGGGTACTCACCAGTGGGAGGGTATGGTAGGGGGTACTCACTGGTGGGTGGGTATGGTAGGGGGGTACTCACTGGTGGGTGGGTATGGTAGGGGGTACTCACTGGTGGGAGGGTATGGTAGGGGGTACTCACCAGTGGGTGGGTATGGTAGGGGGTACTCACCAGCGGGTGGGTATGGTAGGGGTACTCACACTGGGAGGGTATGGTAGGGGGTACTCACCAGTGGGTGGGTATGGTAGGGGGTACTCACCAGTGGGTGGGTATGGTAGGGGTACTCACCAGTGGGTGGGTATGGTAGGGGGTACTCACCAGTGGGTGGGTATGGTAGGGGTACTCACCAGTGGGTGGGTATGGTAGGGGGTACTCACCAGTGGGTGGGTATGGTAGGGGTACTCACCAGTGGGTGGGTATGGTAGGGGGTACTCACCAGTGGGAGGGTATGGTAGGGGGTACTCACCAGTGGGTGGGTATGGTAGGGGGTACTCACCAGTGGGTGGGTATGGTAGGGGGTACTCACCAGTGGGTGGGTATGGTAGGGGGTACTCACCAGTGGGTGGGTATGGTAGGGGGTACTCACCAGTGGGTGGGTATGGTAGGGGTACTCACCAGTGGGTGGGTATGGTAGGGGGTACTCACCAGTGGGAGGGTATGGTAGGGGGTACTCACTGGTGCGCGGGTATGGTAGGGGTACTCACCAGTGGGAGGGTATGGTAGGGGTACTCACCAGTGGGAGGGTATGGTAGGGGGTACTCACCAGTGGGAGGGTATGGTAGGGGTACTCACCAGTGGGTGGGTATGGTAGGGGTACTCACCAGTGGGTGGGTATGGTAGGGGGTACTCACCAGTGGGTGGTGGTGCCGCAGTGGGGTCGGCCACGGCAGGTAGCGGGCCCGGGGCCAAGCTCCCCTCCAGTCACCATACACGTGGGACATCACACGCCTCTTGGTGCCTCTTGGTGCCTCTTGGTGCCTCTTGGTGCCTCTTGGGGTCTCTTGGGGCCTCTTGGTGCCTCTTGCTTCTCTTGGAGCCTCTTGGTGCCTCCTACTTTTCTTGGTGCCTCCTAATGCCTCTTAATGCTTCTTACTCCTCTTGGTGCCTCTTGCTCCTCTTAATGCCTCTTGCTCCTCTTAGTGCCTCTTTCTCATCTTAGTGCCTCTTGCTTCCTCTCTTAGCGACATATGATCCCTTCTTACTGCTTTATGATCCTCTCTTAGTGCCTCTTGATCATTTTAGTGCTCTTGATTCTCTCATATTATCTCCCGATCCCCTCTTACTGCCTCTTCATCCTCTTAGTACTTCTTGATCCTCTTAGTACTGACGTACCTCTTGATACTTTCTTAGTACCCGCGTAATCCTCCTTTCATTGCTTCTTGATTCTTTCTTAGTACCTCTTCATCCTCTTAGTACCTCTTGCTCCGCTTAGTACTTCTTGCTCCTCTTAGTACCTCTTGCTCCTCTTAGTACCTCATGATCCTCTTAGTACCTCTTGATCCTCTTAATACCTCATGATCCTCTTAGTACCTCTTGATCCTCTTAATACCTCATGATCCTCTTGGTACCTCTTGATCCTCTTAGTACCTCATGATCCTCTTGGTACCTCTTGATCCTCTTAGTACCTCATGATCCTCTTGGTACCTCATGATCTTCTTAGTATCTTTTGATCCTCTTAATACCTCTTGATCCTCTTAGTACCTCATGATCCTCTTAGTATCTTTTGATCCTCTTAATACCTCTTGATCCTCTTAATACCTCGTGATCCTCTTAGTACCTCTTGATCCTCTAATAGTGCCTCTTGAACCTCTCTTAGAGTCTCATGGTTCTCTTCGTTCCTCTTGGTCTTATTTTAGTTATTGGTCGTCTCTTGGAGCTTCTTGATCCTATTGTAGTGCTTCCTCGTCCTCTTATAGCGCCTCTTGATCCTCACTTAGTGCCCCTTGATCCTCTTATAGCGCCTCTTGATCCTCACTTAGTGCCCCTTGATCCTCTTATAGCGCCTCTTGATCCTCACTTAGTGCCCCTTGATCCTCTTATAGCGCCTCTTGATCCTCACTTAGTGCCTCTTGATCCTCACTTAGTGCCTCTTGATCCTCACTTAGTGCCTCTTGATCCTCACTTAGTGCCTCTTGATCCTCTCTTAGTGCCTCTTGATCCTCTTAGTGTCTCTTGATGCTCTCTTAGTGCCTCTTGATCCTCTTAGTGCCTCTTGATCCTCTCTTAGTGCCTCTTGATCCTCATTTGTGTGATCCTCTCTTAGTGCCTCTTGATCTCACTTAGTGCCTCTTGATCCTCTCTTAGTGCCTCTTGATCCTCTCTTAGTGCCTCTTGATCCTCTCTTAGTGCCTCTTGATCCTCACTTAGTGCCTCTTGATCCTCACTTAGTGCCTCTTGATCCTCTCTTAGTGCCTCTTGATCATCACTTAGTGCCTCTTGATCATCACTTAGTGCCACTTGATCCTCTCTTAGTGCCTCTTGATCCTCTCTTAGTGCCTCTTGATCCTCTCTTAGTGCCTCTTGATCCTCACTTAATGCCTCTTGATCCTCACTTAGTGCCTCTTGAGCCTCTCTTAGTGCCTCTTGATCCTCACTTAGTGCCTCTTGATCCTCATTTGTGCCTCTTGATCTTCGTAAGTGCCTCTTGATCCTCTCTTAGTGCCTCTTGATCCTCACTTAGTGCCTCTTGATCCTCACTTAGTGCCTCTTGATCCTCTCTTAATGTCTCTTGATCCTCTCTTAGTGCCTCTTGATCCTTAGTGCCTCTTGATCCTCACTTAGTGCCTCTTGATCCTCACTTGGTGCCTCTTGATCCTCAGTGCCTCTTGATCTCTCTTAGTGCCTCTTGTTCCTCACTTAGTGCCTCTTGATCCTCAGTGTCTCTTGATCTTCTCTTAGTGCCTCTTGATCCTCACTTAGTGCCTCTTGATCCTCTCTTAGTGCCTCTTGATCCTCAGTGCCTCTTGATCCTATCTTAGTGCCTCTTGATCCTCTTAGTGCCTCTTGATCCTCTCTTAGTGCCTCTTGATCCTCTCTTAGTGCCTCTTGATCCTCAGCGTCTCTTGATCCTCTCTTAGTGCCTCTTCATCCTCACTTAGTGCCTCTTGGTCCTCTCTTAGTGCCTCTTGATCCTCACTTAGTGCCTCTTGATCCTCAGTCTCTTAGTGCCTCTTGATCCTCTCTTAGTGCCTCTTGTGCCTCTTGATCCTCTCTTAGTGCCTCTTGATCCTCTCTTAGTGCCTCTTGATCCTCAATTAGTGCCTCTTGATCCTCACTTAGTGCCTCTTGATCCTCAATTAGTGCCTCTTGATCCTCTCTTAGTGCCTCTTGATCCTCTCTTAGTGCCTCTTGATCCTCTCTTAGTGCCTCTTGATCCTCACTTAGTGCCTCTTGATCCTATCTTAGTGCCTCTTGATCCTATCTTAGTGCCTCTTGATCCTCACTTAGTGCCTCTTGATCCTCAATTAGTGCCTCTTGATCCTCTCTTAGTGCCTCTTGGTCCTCACTTAGTGCCTCTTGATCCTCACTTAGTGCCTCTTGATCCTCACTTAGTGCCTCTTGATCCTCACTTAGTGCCTCTTGATCCTCACTTAGTGCCTCTTGATCCTCTCTTAGTGCCTCTTGATCCTCAATTAGTGCCTCTTGATCCTCAATTAGTGCCTCTTGATCCTCAATTAGTGCCTCTTGATCCTCACTTAGTGCCTCTTGATCCTCACTTAGTGCCTCTTGATCCTCTCTTAGTGCCTCTTGATCCTCTCTTAGTGCCTCTTGATCCTCAGTGTCTCTTGATGCTCTCTTAGTGCCTCTTGATCCTCAATTAGTGCCTCTTGATCCTCTCTTAGTGCCTCTTGATCCTCAGTGTCTCTTGATGCTCTCTTAGTGCCTCTTGATCCTCAATTAGTGCCTCTTGTTCCTCACTTAGTGCCTCTTGATCCTCTCTTAGTGCCTCTTGATCCTCAATTAGTGCCTCTTGATCCTCAATTAGTGCCTCTTGATCCTCAATTAGTGCCTCTTGATCCTCACTTAGTGCCTCTTGATCCTCACTTAGTGCCTCTTGATCCTCTCTTAGTGCCTCTTGATCCTCAATTAGTGCCTCTTGATCCTCAATTAGTGCCTCTTGATCCTCAATTAGTGCCTCTTGATCCTCACTTAGTGCCTCTTGATCCTCACTTAGTGCCTCTTGATCCTCAATTAGTGCCTCTTGATGCTCTCTTAGTGCCTCTTGATCCTCAATTAGTGCCTCTTGATGCTCTCTTAGTGCCTCTTGATCCTCAATTAGTGCCTCTTGATCCTCTCTTAGTGCCTCTTGATCCTCACTTAGTGCCTCTTGATCCTCCCTTAGTGCCTCTTGATCTTGTCTTTTTTTTTAGCCTTTTGATTTTTTAGCCCAGGTGGTGATGGGTGGTACAGGCCACAGCCTGCAGCGCCTCCTGCAACCTTCACCACACCAGAGCACTGTTTCAAGCGTAGGTTAGACCTGGATATGGATGAGTTTGGGTGGATATAAACAGGAGCTGCCTCGTGGGCCAACACCTTACTTTACTCTAATATGTTTCCTTTCTTAGTATACATTCTTACAACACCAATAATAATAATAATAATAATAATAATAATAATAATAATAATAAAAATAGTAATGTTAATGTCTTCTCATATGTAACACCCATGACCCCCCCCCCTTTCGAGTTCACACCCAGGGAAGCCTTCTCCAAGAGGTCAGCCCAGATGACCTCCGGAGTATCTTGTATGTTGATTAAAAAATTCTTGGGTTAGTCTTAATCAGCTAGTTTCAAGTATGTAATATTTCATGGTACTCTTGTCAAACATTGTAATGGAATTAGACCCCAGATTCTTATGTGTAAACATCCATGGATCTCCCCCCCCCCCTTTTAGCCCAGGTCAGAGGTCAGTCACACACGTAATTAATAATTCCTCTCTTGAACAGTGTATGGTGAATGTCAAACAAGCTTGATGGAAAAATTCTTGAGTGTTTGTACACGTGTGGCCGACCTCTTACATTTTTGGTGTAGGTAGCAACAGCAAATCTTCCCCTTCCCCCCCCCCCCTTTTGGGGTGTATATATTGGTCCTGTAGAGACTTAGAGACAGAGTGCGGGACACCAGGGTCGAGAGAGGGTCTGTGAGAACATCACACAGCCAGGGAGGGACAGAGTGAATCCACCGGAGGGAGAGACAGAGGTCTTAAGGTAAAGTGTGATCTCTGAGGGTTTTGTTCCATGTCTAAATTTCTTAACTATTGGCCAGTGTTAGAGTAGGAGTTATAGTGGTGATTAGCATAATTTTGTTCTCAATAAACTCGTGTTAAATTTCCCGTCTGTGTCAATTGTTGAGTCCTCTTAGCCTTTCGGATATAGTGGGCTGACAACCGTCCCATAATTAATGACAGTCATAGAAAGTACTCTCCAAGTCAAGCAATGTTTCTTGCCTCGCTGCTTAATATAGTCTCAATGGTCAAGGCAGATGGTGGCAGCGTTATTTAGTCATGTTTAACATTTCCTTGTTGGCAGTGTACCTTTGGTTCCGGTGTAACCATCATATGTCAGCTCATATTACAGTGTTCAATAACAGCGTTACCAAGTGCAACCGATAGGAAGTGTTACGCAGGATAAGTAGTAGTGTTACATTATTAGTTCATAGTATATAGTGGTGTTACAACCAGTATATAGTGGTGTTACAGTGGTGTTACATGACAACCACTCAAGAGAGTGCCGAAGACTTGCTGTAAATCTTTACATAACATTCACAAATACACAAGAGTGGAGTTTTATCCTAAATAATAATAATAATAATAATAATAATAATAAAGAGGGCGGGAAGGGCGAGACTTGTGGTGTGTCAATATTGAGGCTGTTGTTGTTGGCAGGGAGTCAAGGAGTATTTTAGGAAGGGTTTAGCACGGTACACAGTGCACCAATGTTGCTCTATCATAATGAACTTCTTTCAGATAATAGTGTGTGGTTAGTCACCTAAATACTCTCAATATGCGTGTAGGGTCTAGCTCCCTGGCCCCGCCTTCCCACCTAGTGGGACCACGGCGCCAAGTGGGCTACCGTGACCACTGGTGGTTACCGTGAACCACTGGTGACTGCGCACGGTAGCCACCGTCTAGAGCGCGTCTGGGAACACCCGGCGCTGAGATTCGAACCCTCATCATGGCTTGTTAAATACTATTATTATTATTATTGAATTCCTTTAATACAACAGCAGATAATATTAGTACAGAGTGAGCTGTGGGGCGGCGTGTTGAGTCCCCACACTCACTCTCCTCCGTGTTGAGTGATCATTGTACTCAGTAGTGGGTCTCTCTCTGCTGGACACCTCAGCAGTACACACTAATTTATCATAGTTCCTCGCTCAGTATATATTTGTTCACAATAGTACCTGAGTTTACATTTGTTCACTGTTGTACCTCGCTGAGTACAAATTTGTTCACTTTTGTTCCTCGGTGAGTACTAACTTGTTCACTGTTGTACCTCGCTGAGTACTAACATGTTCACTGTTGTACCTCGCTGAGTACAAATTTGTTCACTGTTGTACCTCGCTGAGTACAAATTTGTTCACTGTTGTACCTCGCTGAGTACAGATTTGTTCACTCTTGTACCTCGGTGAGTACTAACTTGTTCACTGTTGTACCTCGCTGAGTACACTACTTGAGTAGTACTACCACAACACACACACTGTACCACAACACCCACACATTGTACCACAACACTTGTACCTCGGTGAGTACACTTGTTCACTGTTGTACCTCGCTGAGTACACATTTGTTCACACTTGTACACTCGCTGAGTACAGATTTGTTCACTCTTGTACCTCGCTGAGTACACACTGTATCACAACACCCACACATTGTACCACAACACACACACTGTACCACAACACACACTGTACCACAACACACACACTGTACCACAACACACACATTGTACCACAACACACACAATGTACCACAACAACACACACTGTACCACAACACACACTGTACCACAACACACACACTGTACCACAACACACACACTGTACCACAACACCCACACATTGTACCACAACACACACACTGTACCACAACAACACACACTGTACCACAACACACACACTGTACCACAACACCCACACATTGTACCACAACACACACTGTACCACAACACACACACTGTACCACAACACACACACTGTATCACAACACCCACACATTGTACCACAACACACACACTGTACCACAACAACACACACTGTACCACAACACACACACTGTACCACAACACCCACACATTGTACCACAACACACACTGTACCACAACACACACACTGTACCACAACACACACACTGTACCACAACACACACACTGTACCACAACACACACACTGTACCACCACACACACACTGTACCACAACACACACACTGTACCACAACACACACACTGTGTACACACACTGTACCACAACACACACACTGTACCACAACACACACACTGTACCACAACACACACACTGTACCACAACAACACACACTGTACCACACACACACATTGTACACACAACACACACACTGTACCACAACACACACATTGTACCACAACACACACACACTGTACACACTGTACCACAACACACACACTGTACCACAACACACACTGTACCACAACACACACACTGTACCACAACACACACTGTACCACAACACACACACTGTACCACAACACACACACTGTACCACAACACACACACTGTACCACAACACACACACTGTACCACAACACACACACTGTACCACAACACACACACTGTACCACACACACACACTGTACCACAACACACACATTGTACCACAACACACACACTGTACCACAACACACACATTGTACCACACACCCACACATTGTACCACAACACACACATTGTACCACAACACACACACTGTACCACAACACACACACTGTACCACAACACACACACTGTACCACAACACACACATTGTACCACAACACACACACTGTACCACAACACACACATTGTACCACAACACACACATTGTACCACAACACACACACTGTACCACAACACACACACTGTACCACAACACACACACTGTACCACAACACACACACTGTACCACAACACACACACTGTACCACAACACACACACTGTATCACAACACCCACACATTGTACCACAACACACACATTGTACCACAACACACACACTGTACCACAACACACACACTGTACCACAACACACACATTGTACCACAACACACACACTGTACCACAACACACACACTGTACCACAACACCCACACTGTACCACAACACACATTGTACCACAACACCCACACATTGTACCACAACACACACACATTGTACCACAACACACACACTGTACCACAACACACACTGTACGACAACACACACTGTACCACAACACACACACTGTACCACAACACACACATTGTACCACACACACACTGTACCACACACACACACTGTACCACAACACACACTGTCTCCACAACACACACTGTACCACAACACACACACTGTACCACAACACACACACTGTACCACAACACACACTGTACCACAACACACACACTGTACCACACACACACACACTGTACCACACACACACTGTACCACAACACACACACTGTACCACACACACACACTGTACCACAACACACACTGTACCACAACACACACACTGTACCACACACACACACTGTACCACAACACACACACTGTACCACACACACACACTGTACCACAACACACACTGTACCACAACACACACACTGTACCACAACACACACACTGTACCACAACACACACACTGTACCACAACACACACTGTACCACAACACACACACTGTACCACAACACACACACTGTACCACAACACACACACTGTACCACAACACACACTGTACCACAACACACACTGTACCACAACACACACACTGTACCACAACACACACTGTACCACAACAACACACACTGTACCACAACACACACACTGTACCACAACACACACACTGTACCACAACACACACACTGTACCACAACACACACACTGTACCACAACACACACTGTACCACAACACACACTGTACCACAACACACACACTGTACCACAACACACACTGTACCACAACACACACACTGTACCACAACACAACACACACTGTACCACAACACACACACTGTACCACAACACACACACACTGTACCACACACACTGTACCACACACACACACTGTACCACAACACACACACTGTACCACAACACACACACTGTACACACACACACACTGTACCACACACACACACACTGTACCACAACACACACACTGTACCACAACACACACACTGTACCACACACACACACTGTACCACAACACACACACTGTACCACAACCACACTGTACCACACACACTGTACCACAACACACACACAACACACACACTGTACCACAACACACACACTGTACCACAACACACACACTGTACCACAACACACACTGTACCACAACACACACACTGTACCACAACACACACTGTACCACACACACACACTGTACACACACACACACACTGTACACACACTGTACACACACACTGTACCACAACACACACTGTACCACAACACACACTGTACCACACACACTGTACCACACACACACTGTACCACACACACACACTGTACCACAACACACACACTGTACCACACACACACACTGTACCACAACACACACACTGTACACAACACACACACTGTACCATTAACACACACCACAACACACACTGTACCACAACACACACTGTACCACAACACACACACTGTACCACAACACACACTGTACACACACACACCACAACACACACTGTACCACACACACACACTGTACCACAACACACACACTGTACCAACACACACTGTACCACACACACACACCACAACACACACTGTACCACAACACACACTGTACCACAACACACACTGTACAACACACACACTGTACCAACACACACACACTGTACATTACCACACACACTGTACCACACACACACACTGTACACACACACACACACTGTACACACACACACACTGTACCACACACACACACACTGTACACAACACACACACTGTACACTGTACACACTGTACCACAACACACACTGTACCACAACACACACTGTACCACACACACACACTGTACACAACACACACCATGTACACAACACACACTGTACCACAACACACACTGTACCACAACACACACTGTACCACACACACACACTGTACACACACACACACACTGTACCACACACACACTGTACCACACACACACACACTGTACACTGTACCACAACACACACTGTACCACAACACACACACTGTACCACAACACACACTGTACACAACACACACTGTACCACAACACACACTGTACCACACACACACACTGTACCACACACTGTACCACACACACACACTGTACCAAAACACACACTGTACCACAACACACTGTACCACAACACACACACTGTACCACAACACACACACACTGTACCACAACACACACACTGTACCACAACACACACTGTACCACACACACACACTGTACCACACACACACACTGCACCGTACCACACACACACACTGTACCACACACACACACACTGCACCGTACCACACACACACACTGCACCGTACCACACACACACACTGTACCACAACACACACACTGTACCACACAACACACACTGTACCCACACACACTGTACCACACACACACACACTGTACCACAACACACACTGTACCACAACACACACTGTACCACACACACTGTACCACAACACACACACTGTACCAACCACACACACTGTACCACCACACACACTGTACCACACACACACACACTGTACACAACAACACACACTGTACCACAACACACACACTGTACCACAACACACACTGTACCACACACACACACACACTCAACACACTGTACCAACACACACACTGTACCACACACACACACTGTACCACAACACACACTGTACCACAACACACACTGTACCACAACACACACTGTACCAACACACACACTGTACCACAACACACACTGTACCACAACACACACTGTACCACAAACACACACACACTGTACCACAACACACACTGTACCACAACACACACACTGTACCACAACACACACTGTACCACAACACACACTGTACCACAACACACACTGTACCACAACACACACTGTACCACAACA